CACGTCTTCACGCATCATTCAACCCGCTTGTACACGCGGGTCCACCAAAAATGGGCACTGCGGCCAAAGCGACCGGCCATCGGCGTATCATATTGAATATATCGCTTTCGATATAACTGATATGGGCTAGTTCATAATCACGACAACGTAACAAATCGTCAGCCAGCACGTTCATTATTCTTGGCGTGTACACAACCGGGAAGTTTGATTCGAAGACTGACAACCAGCGAGCCATACGCTGCGACAAGGGAGGCAATTAAACTGCATAACACAAGCTTGCGTAATCCGTGTAGACTACAAACGGAGTTGAGCCCAAGAGGTGGACACGAAACTTTACCAAAGCATATTTCATTGCTAAACGCTCTTTTTCGTGATAAGATTTATTCTTTTCAGCTTTAGCCGTCACGATTGAAACGACACGACACAATCTTGTTCGTCTAAGATCTTTTGCAATAATGCACAATCGATCCCAAACTTGAAAGCATCACACACCACGCTACAAATGTCGTTTTATCTGGTTTAGCAAGTAATGGTGCCTCTATCAGACCTGGTTTGAGTAAATGCTTCGTCACAAGCGGATGACCACTTTCATTGTACTCCCTTCTTCAGCAAGTTTGATAGCGGGCGTACCATGTCCGCCTTGTGGCATCAAAAGCCTCTCCCATTACATACCGGACGGTGTACTGTTAGTCGTGAAAGGGACGTCCTACTCCATAATCAAGATTTGGTAGTATATATCAACTAAACCAAGTTCATTAAACTTAGTACATCCGGTCATACAATGAAAGATGACATTTTTCGCATAATTGGCGTTTGAGCGGGAATCGATTGCTCATTCAACTTGATATAGATACGCCATTTACCATTTGCTTTGCGCACACAAAACGTCGACGCGCTGTGAGGGGACTTGCTTTCCATCACCAAACTGGAAGCTTGCTTTTGCGCAGAGAGCTCATCGATACACTTACCTTGATCCCGCGACAGAGACCACCGTCGAAGCACC